CGCTCATGACATCATTGAGGTGCTCAAGCTCCAGCGCCCCGACAAGGCGGTGATCCTTTGCTGGAGAGAGAACACTATGGACTCAAACAATTGATCTGGACCAAACTTGGCACAAATACTTAATATGCCGAAATGTAAACACTGGTGAAGTTTAGGTAAAATAGACCTGGACATTTGGGAGTTATAGTTGCTGGGATTTGTAGTTCACCTACAATCAAAGAGCATTCTGAATTCCACCAATGATAGAATTGAACCATACTTGGAACACAGAACTCCCATGACCAATAGAAAAATACTGGGAGGGTTTGGGGGGCATCGACCTTGAGTTTTGGAGTTGTCGTTCACTTAAATCCAGAGAGCACTGTGGACTCAAACAATGGATCTGGACACAAATACTCAATATGCCCAAATGTAAACACTGGTGGAGTTTGGCAAAAATAGACCTTGACATTTGGGAGTTGTAGTTCACCTACAATCATAGCAGGAGGAGGGCTTTGGTGGGAGGATTCACCATGTGTTTCCAAAAAGGAAGAGAAGGACAGGTGGAGAGATCTTCTGCCTTCTCTGCCAAAGGCGTTCCTAAGACCATCAGAAATATGTGTTTTCTGATGGTCTTTGGCGACCCCTCTGAAACTCCCCTTGCGACCCCCCCCCAAGGGGTCCCGACACTGCTCTAAGGCGAAGTTATTGCAGGATTTGCTAAGGCTGAGAGTTACTGACTTGTCCAAGGACGTTGATGGTCAAGCAGAGATGTCAACCCTGGTGATCAAAGCAGTAGCCATGCGCTCAAACCGCTCTACCACACTGGCGCATATATTTCTATCCAATTCTTTATCCAGAGATCTCAATGCAAAATTAAAATAGTAGAAACCATTACAATAATTCAACAAAACTAAAAAAAATTCAAAAGATGGGTTGAAAGGGTTAAAATGGTATAGAATGCAATTAAAATTATGCGTATAAGAACGAAAAGCAACGGGGACTACAAAGCTTTCATGAACGGCCATGTTTTTACTTGGTGCTAATGAATGGCAACACAATGTTGGCACCCATCGGGCCTT